AGCAAAATATAACTGTGCTAGAATCGCAGTAATTTAATAAAAATAACACCGTAACTCCGCAACTAAAGGTTTTTTTAGGAACAATAATTCCGAAAAAGATATTTTCTACGTATTTTTTAAATAATAATATAGACATTTCAAAAATTGATTCTTAAGTAAAAACACGTCTGTATAGCAAAAAAATGCATGTCATATTATGTTACATAGATTTCTAGATAAAATAATCATTTACAAATAATGTCATAAATGAGGCTAAATATATTACTAACTCATACATAAACATTTTATTTTCATTACCCATAGGCGTAAATGTCATTACCTATACAATTTGAGTTTTTTATTCATAAATTCAAAATTGTTTGTTGATGTCTAATAATTATCTTACATAATTTCTATTCTCAGATTTTATTCATATATAAGAATCCGTCTGCATAATTAGCTAGTGCATCACAATATTATGTCATGTGTTAAAGTAAACGAACCACCAAATTTTGCATGCGTAGGTGTATTCCATACTTTTAAATTATAAGCCAACTATATTGAATGTACCTACCTACCAATATGATTTCAGGTTTATTGATACCTATGTGAAGGGCAAGATACTTGTTGGCATGAGCGGAGCTCAGTCAAAAAAATTAGATTCGTGCGGACTTACGGTGCTTCCGTACTTTTGATATAAAATTACAATGAAATACATCTTCATGTATTATGTATTAAGGAAATTATGTAAGTAGGTACCTAACTGATTACATGTTACAACTTACAAGTTACAAAATGTACTTAACGTGGTTATTTAACTTGTATCAAATATGTAAAAAAATATATATTACTGCCCATCCCTGGGTATATGTAGGTAGTATAGGTTATAGGTATTATATACCTAAAAACTATATTGTGTAAGTAGGGTAAACAACAAAATCGTATTTCCATACCTACAAAATACATGCAAACAATCACGTAACACAACGCCATTATTATCATATGTACATAAACACACAGCGCACTCAAAGGGACCGTTATGAAGTACTAGGTCACTTTGCATTTCCATGGCCATTAATTGCTGATAATTATTATCTTTATCTTCAGATGGCAAATTTTTAAAGTCTGAAAAGTAGCAGAAAAAATTTACTACAAATAAGGTTAATACTTAATTCTAATGGTAAGTATATATATATATATAATATTATACATATATATAAGTATATACAGTGGCGTATTTAGAGTAAAAATATTAAGTTCTTCAGAAAACTATGTTTAAAAAATTACAACCTACCACACTACACTATGATTAAAAACTAAAACACGGTGGATACTCGTTGCCTCCCAAAATATAAGAATTGCCTATTTGCCTCCCATTACCCTTATTGTAAATAAACAGTTTAATGTAAAATATCAGTCTTCGGTTTAGGTATATTTACTATATACATTTCTACAAATAATAGGTACACCATTATATTAAAAATGAAGAGTGTAATAATTAATCAATAAATAAATATTTGGTCATCTATATGATACCTATAAGCCTCTAATTTTTATTTATTTTATTTATTTGTATAAACGCCAAACGGCTTTTTACATATTGCAATAACGATATAACATGAATTAACGTTAGTGATAAGAATAATATACATAAATGATAATGTTAACAATATACTAAAAAATAAGAACAATAATAATTATAATAGGAAAATTACACACGTTAGGAGAATACAAAATTTAAGGCCATATATCAAAATTATTATTATTTAAATTGCGCATAGCTCTAACAAAAGGATCATTAGATAAAAAGTTTGAACGGGAAGTTGGGATGTGAAAGGAATTGGTTGATCTGGTATTGGCGGTAGGAACTCTAAAGCTAATACGCTCAAGGAGACGCGGAGCATCAATTTTACCCTGGATTAATTTTAAAAGGAAGTTACGATCCGCAATTAGTCGCCTTTCCTCGAGGGAGAGGAGATTAAGCGCGCCCATGACAGGTTGGTATGAGTGTAGGGGGTGTTCAATTTTTAATAAGAAGCCTGCATAGTTTAGGAATCGAGTCTGGACTCGTTCAATAAGTTTTATTTCCGTTTTAAGATGGGGATTCCAAATGATTGAACCATAGTCGAGAATTGAACGAATGAGAGCAGAATAAAGGGTTATGATGCAAGGTGCTGAGTTGAAGTGTTTGGTGTGGCGGCGTATGAATCCCAGAAGACGTAAGGCCTTACAAGTGATATAATCAATATGAGGTCTGAAGGAAAGTGAGGAGGTATATATTATACCTAGATCCTTTACTTCAGATACTCGAGTTAGGGGTGAGTCATTATAAGTATATACGTAATCCACAGGAATCCGTGATCTGGAGAATGATATGATTTTACACTTATCAAAGTTTAGGGTAAGGCCAATAGCCTGACACCAGTTAATAAAATTATTGAATGATGATTGAAGGACGTCACAATCAGCACTGGAAGATATCCTGGAGAACAGCTTAGCATCATCAGCAAAAAGAAGTAAACGGACCGACGGGACATTGCTAAATATTGAATTAACAAAAATATTAAATAGTAGTGGAAATAAATATCCACCTTGCGGAACGCCAGAAGAAACTTTAAATTTACTTGATGAGATATTGAACAACTTAACATATTGCCATCTATCCACTAGGTATGAGCGAATCCATGATAAAAGAGGAAAACCAATTCCCAGTTTATCCAAGGTGTAGATGAGAGAGTTATGATCAACTGAATCAAATGCTTTTGAAAAGTCGGTGAAAATAGCGTCAACTTGGGAATTATCTCTAAAGGCATCACGGATAAAACAAGAAAAATCTAGTGAACTGGTTATAGTGGAACGACCAGGAAAAAAGCCATGTTGGTCTGTAGACAATGTAGAATGAAGAGGGCGTTCAATTTTTTTAAGAACTATCAGTTCAAAAAGTTTGCCAATAAAGGGAAGATTAGATATCGGTCTATAATTCATGACTAGAGTTGGATCACCAGATTTTAGGATCGGTGTAACACGACTAATTTTCCAAACAGCTGGAAAAGAGCCCTCAGTGAGAGACTTGTTGAAAATAGTACAGAGCGGGGAGCAAAGCACCTCACGACATTTAAAAAGTAAAGAAGCTGGAATATCATCAGGGCCCACTCCACGGACATTTGATAACGTCTTGAGAGCATCAGATACTTCCTCAATGGAAATAGATAAATGGTTAGGTAAGAAGGAGAACTGCTGGATTTCAATATTCATTAGAGCTAAGTTAAGGGCAGCTGAAGGTTGTTTATAAGTAGAGGCAAAGAAAGAAGAAAAAAGTTCAGCAACATCAGGACCATTAGCAGAGATATCATTCAAGTATACTTGATTAGGAATCGAAGAAGTCACGACTCTTTTTTATGAAGGACCAAAAATCACGTAGGCTAGAGGTAAGTCGAGACTGAGCAACATTGATATGAGTCCTTAAACATGATTTAGATAGTGCTTTACATTGAGAACGTAGATTGGAGAACGAATTGTAGTCATGAAACGAGCCTGTTTTTTTGAATTTTTTATGAGCTGATTTTTTTTTAAAAAGAAGAGATTTGAGAACAGTTGAAACCCATGATGGGAAGGTTGATCTACGAAATGGTTTAAGTGGAACGAATCGTTGAATGGCGTCAAGAATAGAATCCTGTAATCTTGTGGCAGATAAGTCAGCAGGCTGAATGTTAAAAGTAGTAGACCAGTCATTGTCGGCTAAGGCTTTAGCAATAGAGTCAAAGTCAGCATTGTTAAAATCACGAAAATAGTGACTATCATCTAGCATAAATAAAGGGACAGGAACTTGATAATTAAATGACAAAGCTGGATGATATCTGTCACAAGGGACAAGACTGACTGGAGCTACATCAACAGAGATACTTTCTTTATTAGCGAATATCAAATCAAGAAGGGAACCAGAACTGTTGTATATAGAATTCAATTTTAGGAAGTCCATACTGATAAATTGATCACCAATTAGAGAAGATTTATCATTGACTGTGCCACTAAACTTGAGACCCTGGTTAGAGGAACTCCAGGATGTACCTGGTAAGTTGAAATCACCACAAAATACACCTAGATTACAATTAGATGATTCCCACGTTAGGTCCACAGATTTCGTATAAGTATCATAAAGTGACAAGTTTGCATTGGGGGGAATGTATACCACACTAATGAGAGCAGAGAGTTCATTTGTTACAGAAATACGAACAAATAATTGTTCGACATTTTGTACACCGGTAGGGACGAGCTGAGGGCGTAGATTATTCCTAACTGCTATAAGAACTCCACCACCACGAGAGAGGTTGCTAGAATGAGTGCTTCTATCACAGTGCTTCTAAATATAGTATAACCGGAAAAGTTAAGCTCGGCATTGTTTATATCATCAGAGAGCCATGTCTCCGTTAGTAAAAAAATATCATATGATAAAAGAACAAAGTTAGAATACAGATTGAATAATTTTGATCTAAGGCCTCTAACATTTTGGTAATAAAAATTTAAATTATACATTTCTTTACTTAACGATAGATAATTAGTTTTAGAGAATTTATTTTTGAATGAGAGAAACTCATGTACATAGATATTCATGGAAGAATTGAGATTATTACAAATAGTACAGTTAGGGGTTACCGTGAAGATAGGATGATGACAGTCCTTGGAGATGAATGAATGCATGCAGGTGACTAGTTTTTTGAAAGCGAAGAAGATGGATGATTCGAGTGACTACCAGAAACACCACCATCATTAGGTACAATAAGTGGAATTCCATTCCTATACTTTATGGAGATGTTGTGTTCACCGTTTTTCTTACGGTTCTCAAGCTCTGTGTAGACACGACGAATTTCTTGGCGCTCAAGGAGGGTGCGATCATGTGAGATGGAGATTGAGTTAGCAGGGACCGATTGTGTTCGCTTATGAGAGTTGAAGACAGACACTAAGTTGAGAGCCATTTCCTTCGATTGAAGTACCACCTTTAGAGGTCGAGGTTTACCACTTATCTAGCGGCCCAACCTAAATAACTTAAGATCTTGAGGTAAAGTTAAGTTAATCGGATGAATATTATCACCGAGTAATTTAATATCAGAAGCAATTCGAACTGTAGGATCATTGGACGAAGACCCTTGGAGACCATGTACTATAATGTTACGAGCACATATTTCACGGTTAGCCAATTCTTGGATCAGCTGGGGCATGTTACTTGAACCATCAGTAGAATTCTCCAAAACTTGAATTCTGTTATTGAGGGTAGCAATTTCGTTGCGGAGAGTAGTATTTTCCGACCTTATCTCAACGAGTTGGGATTTAAAAAAATCAATACTTGATAACAATTCAGCTAGTTTTGAGTTTTGTGACAAATTCATAGCTTTACACTGTTCAAGCATATCAATCTGAGAACTGCGAATCTCAGCGATAGAGTGATGAAGATCATCCATGTTAACAGGAGACGAAGCTTTTTTATTAACAGTTGCAGATCTAGTTTTAATTTGTGATGATTTAGTTGGGGTTGGAGTCATTATGCAGATTTGACGTCAAAAGTAGATTAAAATAATAAAGGAATAGGTAAATTAAGGGATAATATGAAGATAAGGAAATCACTTGACTCACGGTGTATAAGTGATCGCGTCGTTTATAAATGCTACTAGGCACACAGTGTATATGTCGCACGCGTGTGGCCCGTATCGCGTCGGGTAGGTAATTAACGGGCGGCGGGAGATAGCATGGCCGAGTCAACCAGAACACACGATAAAAACTTTAAAATAACCGGCGGACGGGAATTTCAACAAATACAAAGAAAAACTGCCCTTAGAGGGAAAATTTTGAGCAGACCGACTCAAAACCGACACCGGTCTACGCGCGCACTTTTTATAGAACTGTTAAGAGTTAAAACGGAAAAAACGACCAACTGTAACTGGAGAAAATATAGAAAAACTGGGAGCGATATTGTTGTTGATCAAGATGTGCAATAAGAAAGAATTTCCGATACTCGCATTTTAAAGAGGATTTGAGATTCACGGTGCTGGCAATTGAAACTTTTTTTTGTTTATAAATGGTTGAGATTCGTTGCAGACAGGATTGCAAATACCAATTTAAAAAAAAAAAACTTATTAAACTTATTTTTTGTATAATTGGTTTTTTATCTTGAAATGAAGCTCTATAAATTATAATAGACCATTATACGATGTAATTATGTTACTATTATTCTTTATATATATATAGTTTAAGTCTATTACCATGAAGTAAGCCCTCACTTTAGCCGATTCATTCCACACCAGCGCCAATATTTAGCAAATTAATTGCAAATAATTGCAAATAGATTTTTAAAATTTGAATATCAAAATTATAATTTTGGCGAATTTTTTTTTGCAAATTTAGTCAGTCCCTCAATTGTCCGATCCGATCCAAACCAAGGTCAATATTTGACAAATCAATTAAAAAATTAGTAAATAAGTAAGTAAATTGAATTTAATTAATAAAAAAATCTGATACCTATAAATGATTATTAAAATTACTGTATGCTTAATAAAATGACTGCATGCACATATTATTAATGAATTGAACACGAAACAGACAAATATTTTACTTAAGAGACAATTTAAGTAATTTTGATAAAACAATTTATATTCATTAGGAGAAATCCATAGGTATCTTGAATTTTTTTTATTAAAATTGGTTATATAATACAATGTATATATGTATTAAAATCTTAGTAGAATAAATTAAGTACCTTGATGGAATAAAAAAAGCCTAGTTGAATAAAATGATATATATCTCATAAAAATCAATATTTGATAAAAAAAAAAACAATATAAAATCTATATTCGATAAAAAATCTGTATTTAATAAAAAAATCTATACTTGATACAACAATTGATTGTCAAAAAAAAAAATCTATATTTGATAAAACTATTATTACATTCAATAGAAAAAAGGTGGGCAAGTGGATGTCGCTCTGCTTTTCAGTAGGTTTCAAGTGGATCACTGTAATGGATGGTGGTTAATCTGAATTCAATGATATAATATTGTATAAGAAATATTATTCTGAGCGAAGACGGTCAGTCTGTCTATGATATCACTAAGCATATTTGATGATATAATTGTAAATAAAGTAGTTTATATTTATCCTATTTACGTGGAACTTTGTTTTAAATTTTTAATCGTTAGCTATACAAGTTGAACATTTTATATATTAAGTACCTATAGTAAAATTATTATGTATTAAATTTTAAATTTGATACATTTTGTCAAAATTCGAACTTTAAATTTTCATAAAAATAGTTGTGGCTATGTATTTTTAATATTTTTTAACTGCTATTTTTAACAATATATCAGAACTCAGGAGTCTTGTATTAAATTTTCACGAGTTTTTACCAAACAAATAAGATTTTATTGACAATTAAAGAAAAAAATAAAAAAATTTAAAACTGACAATGTCCGTTAACAACCCAAAAAGAGTAAAAATATTTTCAAAATTGTATGGTGTATAGAAAAGGAAAATATAAACAACTAGAATGTACTGTAATTTATTTTATAATTACATCGAAAACCAAAATCGAAATTAAATTTGGGTACATCATTTTTGTACTATTTTCAGTTTGAAATTCATAAAAGTGTTTCTTTTCATAGCAAACATAAGAAATTTTAATAGAAGATTCCCAACAAGTTTTGAAAATGGTATATGGTATATAGAAAATGACAATATAAACATTCAGTCAAAATGTCATGTATCATTTATTTTAGAGTTACACCAAAAACTGTGTAAAAATTCACGTTTTTCAAGGCGCTTTTGAAACTACAGGAACATTTTTACTTTTGACCCAAAAATTACGAACTAGATTCACTGTCCGATCAGAACAGATACTGTTGAAGAAAGTCTAAGCATTTTTACTGACCTAAAAGGTGATGACATACACAGAACAAATTGTGAATAAAATAAAAATTTAAATAAAAATAAAGAGAACACACATCATTGTACAGTAAAATTGATTTGCTAAATATTGACATTGGTTTGGATCGGATCGGACAAAGTGGGAAGGCTGACCAAATTTTCAAAAAATTCGCCAAAATTGCAAATATTGATTTTCAAATTCTAAAAACCAATTTGTAATTAATTTGCTAAATATTGGCACTGGTTTGAAGTGAATCGGACGAAGTGGGGTTGGGGCTAACTTCATGACCATATTAAGTCGGGCAGTCTTGTAAAGTATTCAAATACGTATTCTGAATACTTTTATTTGTATTTTTATTCATTAAAAAAATACTTTTTTCCGATCCAGAAATATTGTTTTATCATGATTCATGAACATTAATTTTATTCTTTGATTAGTTCTCATTTATTCGAATATGTATTCCGAATACAAAATAAAAGTATTGGTTACAAGACTGCTTACGGGACACCTTTTTTAAAAACTTTATTTTTATTCATACGTATGTAGTTATGTACACTGCGAACTTTGGTGCACCAAAACACGGGGGGGGGTCGTCGTGCTTATTTTCGGTTATGGAGTTTTGTCTTTTTTTGGCCCAATTTGAGCCTCAATTGGCCCAACAAAAAAATAATCGTTAAAAAAGTATCCCGCAGAGTAGAAAAAACCATAAATTTTTTTAATTTAAAATTAACTAAAAATATTGTTTTAAACACTCATTTTTCATTGATGTTTAAAACAAAATCAGTTTGTTTTTTTTTTAATGTTTTAAATACAACTACTCTGGTTATTGTTTATAATGGTAATAGTAAAAATGAGTACTATTTTATATATATATATATATATTATGTACATAAATGGTTACGATTGGTTACTCGCGATGGACCAGGTACAAGCAATAATCATGCACTAAATTGTCATGCTTAAAGCCTCGAACAAAGACACTACCTACTTTTATCTTAAAACCATATATAGCTTATATATCTATAAACTATATACTTAAAAACTACTGAATAGCCTTTGACAAAAATATCAGAGATTGTTTTTAGAGATGTTAGAAAAGATTAAAGAGTATTTAAGTAGTTTATACCACGTTAAAAAATATACCAAGTGCTTAAGCACTCCAATTCACAATTTTCGGTTGCCTCGAATTATTTCACAAAGCTAAAAATAATGACGCCTATTTGTCCGTGAACTGAAGTACTTATATTAAAACTGAGATATACCTACTCGAACCAAGACACGCCTATATAGCGTATATACTACCGTATATAGGATTTGCCACAAAAAAACTGCACACGAGTGAAGCCGGGATATTCATCTATTTTAATATAGGTACATCAACAATAATTATTATATTATACAATTGATGTACCTATATTACGGTTCAATCAAGTAGGTAATAGGTACGTTGGTTCATATACTTTACTAAAATATAAGTATATAACACATGTAGGTATACCGAATATATTGTGTTATAAGTTATAATTCATAATATTATGAATTGTTTTATATTGAGTTAATAGGTAGTTAAAAAACATCAATCTTAGGTACCTACCTATATGACATTTATGAAAAATTACACAAATATAAAAATGATAATATAATAAGTCAATACCTACAAAACAGGTGGTACCTATAATAATTAGTCAATAAAAAAATATATATGGTAATATAATAAAATAATAAAACAATTATTTGTTATAAAACTGCTTAAGTTTATATTTTTGTAACCACTTATGCATTTATTTCCTGCTACTTAATTGTTTGGCAACTCGTATAATATAGTCGGGAGGCAATTCGACTAAAATTGATTGAAATTTTTGACTTCGGGAGGCAACTAGTATGCACCCCAAAAATAGGTAGGTACCTACCCAAAATCCAATGTTAATGAAAAGTATAAAGTTTACTTGTACCTTAAATTAAATTTACTCACCAGACGTTAAACTTTAAAAAAATTTTTTAGTTTTCCCCTACGTTGCACAGTAATCTATCACTATTAACTTTAAACTAATATTTACCAATTTATAACGTATCGGATATCTATATAGAACCCAACACTTACAAACACTAATTAAAAATAGTTTATCTAATTTAATGTTTTATTGACAAATATGAATTAAATTACTACTCGAGACTGGTATAAAAATACCGTTAATATAAATACAATTGACTATTTTCTAAACTAACAAGGACCCAAGATTTATTTGGTGTTCCATTTTATTTTTTAGGAAACAATATGATTGCATTTTAACATTTTTTTTTACTCAGAAAATTCTTTAGAAGTAATTTCATTTAATTTGATATGATTCCAAAAAACTGTGACTGGGTTTTTAATATTTTTTAAATATCATTGCAACAATAAATTAGAAGCATTGTATTACATTTTCAAGCATTTTTAATTAACAAATAAATTTTAATTCACATTCATTGAAAAAAAAAAAAAAATTTGAAACTGACAAATCCGTCAACAATTCAAAATAAATCAAAATTATATACTGAATACCCAGAATATGATAATTGATAAATGCTAATAAATAACATCAATGATTAACAAATAATAATTAACGATCTTTATTATAATTACAACT